TTTTTTTTTTTAAAGCCCATCTATATGCTGCTCATAAGAGATGAAGTAGCATGTATGATACGTGCTACAATGCAGCTGAAAGATTATACTAAGTAAAAGAAATCAACACAAAAGGTAACATATTGTAGAATTCCATTTATATGAACTGTCCAGAATAGACAAATTCATAGAGATAGAAAGAAGATTGGTGGTTGCCAGAGTTTGAGGTTAAGGAGAGATAGGGAATACTTGTTTAATGGGTATAGTTTCCTTTTGGCCAGGAATAAAAAGGGCAGGTTATCTCACATATGAGGATCTCTAAATGGCCAATAAACATATTAAAAGGTATTCAACTTTATTAAACATTAGGTAAACACAATAAGGTATCACTAAATACCCACTAGAATTACTAAAATTAAAAAAAAATTGGGGGGGAACCCCAAATCTTTAATTTTTCTCCTTGCCTGGTGCAAGGACTCGAGAGACACCTGAGCTTTACAAACAGGAGACAAACGTCAGCCACCAGGGCCCTCACCGGGTTCAATGCAGGCACGAGGCCCCTCCCCTCAGAGTGCATCACAGACTGGCTCCCATGCGGCCCTGAAGTTCGGCTCATCAGTGCCCTGACAAGTCCATGGTGAGGGCAGGGAGGGCAGAAAAAATTTTTCTTAAGATAAGTATTAGTCATGGTATAGAGTAGAGGTGAGCTAACTACAGCCATGGGTCAGCCACATGTTTCTGTAAATAAAGTTTTATTAGAACACAACCATGCCCATTCATTTATACTTTATGGCTGCTTTCATACTACAGTATGAATTGAGTAGTTGTAACAGAGACAGGCCTGCAAACCTAAAATACTACCTATCCCTTTAAGAAAAAATTTACTGACCCCTCATGTAGAGACACTAGAATTCTCACACACTTCTGGCACACTTTGGAAAGAAAGCCAGAGTATCTACTAGAGCTGAATACATGCATAACACATGAACTAAACACATGCATACCCCAGAAATTCCACTCATAGGACAGAGAATGCATATGTACACAACAGAAATGCATACTATGCTCAGGTAAAGACATGTACAAAAATGTACAGAAATTCCACTCATAGGACAGAGAATGCACATGTACACAACAGAAATGCATACTATGCTCAGGTAAAGACATGTACAAAAATTATTCAAAAGAATAAAAAACTGGAAACTCAACTGTCCAACAGAACAGATAAAGCCTGGTATATTCATGAAAATGAAATACACAAACAAGAAAACAAACTACTGCACAACATGGACTGATCTCACAAACATAATGAACAAAAAGAAACTAGATGGCAAGGAATACTGTATTATTCCATTTACAAAAGTTCAAAAATAGGACAAACCAATCTTGAGTCAGAAGAGATTTCTGGGGGAAAAGGTGAGAATAATGATTAGAAGGGGGTGTCGCTGAGATGGTGGCAGTAATTGATCTGATAGTGGTTACACAAATGTGTTCACATGAAAATTCTATTGCTTAGCTGGTTCTTGCCTAAAGCCATCTTCCTGAGCAACAGCAAGTTAAGGTGGCACTAAGACATCCTCCCATAGATATTTAAGCGCAAGAACTGTCCACCTATGGTTTCCAGAGGCTGGGAGGTGAGGGGGGATGGGACATGGGGAGTTATTATTTAATGGGTAGAGTTTCAGTTCTGAAAGATGAAAAAAGTTCTGGAGATGGATGGTGATGATATTTGCACAATGTAAGTATATTTCAGGACACTGAATTGTACACTAAAAAGTAGTTTAGAACAAAACAAAACAGCCCAAGACAGTCTGTTCTGAGGCCAAAGCTCTTATGAGGCAGCTACAATGCAATGAGCAAAAATGCCTAGGGGTAGTGTTTCCACCCCCAGCTCATAGTGACACCATACTGTGCATAGCCCCTGCTACCTCTGTACTGGAAAAATGGCTACAGTGGTCCTTGCTGAGCTGTTCAGCAGAACCACGGTCTCCCAATGGCTTTGCTACTCCCTGACAAGAGAAGCCTTCCTACAAGAGTGACTAGTGACCCACATGTTATAACTAGCATTCTCTCCTTTCTCTCTTCAGCTAGAGTTATACTCCCAAGGCCAAGGCAAGGGTCCTCTCCAATGTAGCAGACAAGGCTGGAATCTTACCTAGAATGCCCGAATTAACAAAATGTACCAAGCTGAAATACTCAAGGAGATCATTCTGGATGGGGGTCCCAGAGATAAGCACCCGCCGGCTGGTGTTCAAGCTGTCCAGGGCCTGGTAAGTCTGATTCTCAGAGTTCTTAAGTCTGTGTCCCTGCAAGGAAATTAATTCTCACTTAGGCCTGGGCATGATAAGGCATCCCTAATGATAGCAAAGTCTTGTGTAGACAGGAAAAGAGGAAAGAGGAATCAAACATTACAGGCTCTGGGGCCTTAGGAACTGGGCAGGGCACAGCAAGAATGAGAACCTACCTGCTTGCTTACGGAGAAATGTCACGTTCAAGAGATAGACCTTCAGTTTCCAGACCACTAGTGTTACATCCATCCATAAAACAACAATTCCCTGGATTATTACCTCACCTCCTTTTCCCTGCCCTAACCTCCAGAGCCCTAGCAGCCTGCCTATCCTCTTCAGAGACATTCAGCCACATTAGCGACCCATGCTTTCAGGGAATCCTCCCTTCCCACTAGCCAAACCAACCCAGAACACCTCCTGAGCCAGATGCTTTCTGGATTGGTTTACAGGCCATGTCTGGGTTGTCAGAGCCCAAGTCCCTCTGGACTTGGCCCAGGCTCCTTCTTCCCGCTCCCTGCAGAATCCTAAGAGCCTCTCTTCCTCCCTTTGTATCTCTTCCCCAATTCGTCACCCATCCTTCATACACACCCTGTTACTTCTCTCTTTTAAGCCCTTTTCAAGGAAGTGGTAAAGGACCCTATCATCTTCCCTCTTTCCCCAAGAACCACAAGGGCAAGATCAAGCCTGCGCCTGTTCTATCCACAGTCTCCATTTCAGCCCCAAATGCAACCACCAATGAAAGAATGGACAAACAAGTCAGCATGCTCCCTCTGGCCAGCCTTGTATGATGAAATTAAACACAGACCCTCTACTGACCCTCCTGTGTCTAGGATCAAGTCCAAGCTCATTAGTTTAGCACTTCTCAGTAAGACCCCAGCTAACTTCTCTGACAAGTCTTCACAGCTCGTCTTAGTCCAGGAAGCCATAACTCCTCCTCACTCCTAATGTTGGAGTTCCTTAGGTCTCTTTGCCCATGCCACTCCTCTGCCCAGAATTCTCTCCCACAGGCAAATTCCTCAATGTCACCTCCGATGCAAAGCCCTCCTCACTGACCCCAAGCTGTTGGTGTCTCCCACTTCCATGCTCCTATGGCACTCTGTACATAATAGCTGTTTACTAAATCTTTTCCAAGTGCCAGGCACTGGACTAATAAGCAGCACTTCCTGTATATTCTCTTCTATAATCCAGATAACAATTAGATGAGTGGGAATTGTAATACCTATTTTAGAGAAAATGAAGTTCAGAAAGGTGAACACACCAAAATCCCACACTGGTAAAAAGTAGCAGAACTAGGGGGTGCCTGGGTGGCTCGGTCGGTTGAGTGTCTGACTTCAGCTCAGGTCATGATCTCGCGGTTCATAAGTTCGAGCCCCACGTCGGGCTCTGTGCTGGCAGCTCGGAGCCTGCAGCCTGCTTCGGATTCTGTGCCCCCTCCCTCTCTGCCCCACCCCTGCTTGTGCTCTCTGTCTTTCAAAAATGAATAAACATAAAACAATTTTTTTAAGGAAGTAGCAGAACTAGGATTTGAACTCAGGTCTGTGTGATTCCAAAATCTGGGCACTGTACTACTCTGCCTCTCGTCTACTGCTACACAGAGTACTAATCATACTCTACTGTATGTACTCAATCTCCTCACCTAGACAGGAACTTCTTCAAACAGAGACCATGTCAGATTTGCCTTTATATAAATTGGTGTACATGACAGAGTCCCCCACAGAGAACTGCTCAGTAAGTGTTTGTTAAAAGAAAGAATAACCAATGTTGCTATTAAAGAAGAATTAGACATAGAATTTTAATCTTTAAAAATGGCTGGATGTTGTATACCTAAGACTAATACAATGTCATGTCAATTACATTTCAATTAAAATAATTTTTAAGACATCCAAAACAAACAAAAAAATAAAAAATGATTAGAGGCTCCAAGCACTAGTCCTGAAAACAGAAGGCTGAGACTTTGGAGTCAAAGAGGGAAATAAAACTTGAAGCTTGTGAGGAAATTCCCCAAAAGACCCCAGGGAAGGGCACCTGGGTGGCTCAGTCAGTTAAACGTTCAACTTTGGCTTATGTCATGATCTTGCAGTTCTTGGGTTCAAGCCCCACGTAGGGCTCTGTGCTGACAGCTCAGAGCCTGGAGCCTGCGTTGGATTCTTGTCTCCCTCTCTCTCTGCCCTTCTCCTGCTTGTGCTCTGTCTCTCTCTCTCTCTCAAAAATAAACATTAAAAAAAAATTTTTTTTAACAAACAGAAAAACCCAAAAAATACCCTAGGGAAATAGGGGTCAACAATTGGGTCCCTCTAAACTGAAGCTCCCTGAGGGCAGGTATCAATGGGATTCCCAGGGCCTGATGCATGACAGGCACTTAATAAATAATCCAACAAATGAACTGGGCTGACACACTATCCCTGTGGGTCTCTGTGGAAGTGTAAGCCAATACCAGCTCCCTATGGGAACACCCCAGCTCCAGACCCAGCTCCTCCCACCATCACCCACAGATTTAAAACCCAAACTCTCTGGGTTGCCTGGCTGGCTCAGTCGGAAGAGTATGCTACTCTTGATCTCAGAGTCCTCAGTTTGAGCCCCCATGTTAGAGATTGCTTAAAAATAAAATTTTAAAAAAATAATAAAAATAAGACCCAAACTCTGGCATCTCAGCAAATCAAATATTTGGCCAGATGAAAAGCTGTCAGAGTTCTTATTAATAAGCTGCTGCTGAATTTCTGTTCTGGAAGAGTTCTCCGTTTATCCTTTTTAAAGACAAAAGGGCCAGTCTTTCCATACCTAAGCCAAGCTTCCTATACCACGTTTTGGATTATATCCAAGGCACTAAGGGATAAGAGCCCGGTCTTAAAACCCCAGGCCTGAATTCAAGTCCCAGCTCACTAGGTCCTCACAGGGGAAACCCTAGGCAAGTCACTGCACTCCTAACCTCCAAAACGGAGATGACAATGATGTCAATCCCTCACCTATTCATACACTTTCCAAAATGCTTCCATAGATCTCTCTTGATCAGGATCGTGTCCCTTTCAGGTATACCCTGTGCCATCCACTGTACAGAAGTCACTGAGTCTCTGAGCAGTCTCTTCTGCATTGTGCTTACAAGTGGCAACACCAAGGCTGACCCCATGTCTTCTGACTTGCCCTAGTAACCTGAGTAACCTAGCTCAGGTTACTATGAGGGATCAAAGATTTTGTACACAGAGTTATTACGCAGCACTTCTGTGTTCCAGAAAGACCCATCAGCTAGAAGGAAGTTGTGGGTATGAACAGGACAAACTCCTCCTAGAGTAGGCAGTCTTCCAGGACTGGCTTCCTCAGGTCTCTGACAATTGACAAACTGCTGACAAATAAAAGGTAGATGAGTAAAAAGGCAGGCCAGGATGCTAAGTGTGACAAGCAGCAGCCTGGTCCCTTCTGCCCTGCAGAGTCAGCTCAGAAAACAAGAGAGAATGAGAAAGAAAAGAAACACTGCAGAGCAGAATAAAATCCAGATGGGCTAGGACCCTGAGCTTCATAGGGTTTATCACACATATACCCTACCTCAACCTCCTATATCCTTTATTCTTACAAGAACAGCCCATCAAGGTATCAGCAGTTGGCACACTTGCCCAACAATGACTAACTCTTTATTAAGGACAAAAGCCTAATTGGGAAAGAGCTTATAAGTAGCAAGCATGGCATCCCAAAAGTAAGCCTTTCTTCTCTGTCCTGTCCCAAAAGTCCCTCGGATACTGAGCTAATAACCTACAATTCCCAGAGCACAGTCAAGCTTCCCAATCAGTTGACAAATGGGGGCCAAGTCTTTCAGCCACATCTCCACTAAAGACCCAGGGGTGTGCAAGGTGGCCTTAATTCTTCCCAAGAGGTACAAATAATGGTAGCAGCCTCAGGGTAGCCAAGCACCCTGAAAACCTGGAAAATTCATTTTTTAAGTTTATTTATTTTGAGAGAGACCTTGAAAGCGCGAGCAGGGGGGAGGGGCAGAGAGAGGGAGAGAGAGAATCTTAAGCAGGCTCTGCACTATCAGCACAGAGCCCAACGCGGGGCTCAAACCCACAAACCATGAGATCATGACCTGAGCAGAAACCAAGAGTTGGACTCTTAACTGAATGAGCTACCCAGGTGCCCCTGGAAAATTGTTTATACTGGGAAGCTCCCACCACCCTCATTCCTTTCTAAGTAGTAGCATCATTACCACCATTCATGCATAGTGGTGGAAAAGGCTAGTAAGTAACTACTGCCACATTTCCCTCTGTCCCAGCGAGTCAATACGGACTGGTGTAAGGTGTATGGACTATCCACACTGGACTTTCCTACCTCTGTGCTTCTGTTCATATGCATTCCCCCAGCCTAGAATAAAAAAACAGAGTTCTATGACCTTTACCAAAGTCTTAGGACATACCAGGCACTTGGTAAGAGCTTTCCCTCATTCACCTCATTTAACCCTCACAATAACCCATGAAACAAATATTATAAGCCCATTTTACTGACGTGAAAATAGAGGCTCGGGTGGTTAAGTAACTTGTGCGACGTCATTTTACTGGTAAGTAGAAGAGCTAGAATTTGAAAACAAGTCTGACTCTTGGGGTGCCTGGATGGCTCAGCCGGTTAAGTGTCTGACTTTGGCTCAGGTCATGATCTCACAGCTTGTGGGCTGGAGCCCCACATCAGGCTCTGTGCTGACACCTCAGAGTCTGGAGCCCACTTCAGATTCTGTGTCTCCCTCTCTCTCTCTGCCCCTCCCCCACTCACACTCCATGTCTCTCTCTCTCAAAAATAAATATTAAAAAACAAACAAACAAACAAAACTAGTCTGACTCCAGAACCTGTTCCCTTAAACACTATACAGTCTGTCTCCACCTATCCAAATCCCTCTCATCCTTCAAAGTCCTTCTTCAGTCTAAGAATACTGACTGGAAGCAATCAAACAGCCCACAGTACCTCACCCTCCTCAAGTTCCAAGCACTGCTTAATCCCTTTTGGCAGGCTGATATCAAAGGCTCTCCCTCTCACTTGCATCCTCTAAGGCAACAAGCTCTGTCCTTAATATTCCCTGGTGACTGGCACAGCCTTTGGATGGCAGTTATTAGGAGATTTCAACACTTCCTCCTACCACCCAGACTGCTGAGAGGCAAGTACCTCATCACAGATGACCAGTCCAACACTCCCTTTCTGGAGGATTCCAACGTGAAGGCGGAATGTCTCATAGGAAATGATAAGGATGGGAGAAGGCACTCGGGCTCCACGCTGGTTCATGAATCCTTCTACAACAGAAAACAGGTCAAGGGAACAAATCTTAGAATACCTTTTCACGGTTCTTTAATTTAGCCTGAAACTATTATTTTCCATGGAATTCTCTTCCACCCCCTCAGTGCCCTCAACCTACTGGCCATCAGTGAGCATACATACAAGAAGCGAGCAAGCTCTATGGAAGAGTTAAGGCTCCATACCCAGTTTTTGGTCTATCTCGTCCTTAGAGCCTCCATCAATGGCCAGAGGTTGGATCCTCCCTGCAAGCCATTTCCCAACTTCATTGTACCAGTTCTTCACTAGGCTGGAGGGTGACACCACCACTGCCTTGTCAATTTCCGGTTTGCACTCTGGACTCTGGCGCAAAAGCGTCCACATCAACGTGATGCACTGCAGCGTCTTGCCCAGACCCATCTCATCAGCCATGATACAGCCGTGGCTGCCAGGGATGCGCCGACTGGTGACACACTCCCACAGGAACTTTACTCCCTGGGGAATAACAGCATTCAGGCCACTTTGATCCACACTGCTGCAGCCCCAGGGATGACAGCCTCCCATCTCATACCTCTTTACCCCAGCTCCCCTTACCTCTCTCTGATGGGGCCGTAAGACCTTACTGAGAATGGGATCAACAACCACATGGACAGGGAGTTTTTCCCTGAGAAAACACAGCAAAGAAAATATAGTGCTCAGACATGTGCAAGGCCACACCCTCAGGAAGTTGTGTCCTGCTGATCTAGAGGCCAGAGGCAGCTGCCTAAGAGAAGACCTTCTTAGCCTGATAATCAAACCATAGCAAAATTTTGCTCCAGGAGTTAGAAGGTGAGGAGAGGGCTCCCTGTGTCACCAATCCCTCCTGCTCCCTTGAGCAAGCTTGGCAGGAAGGGTGAGGAACCCCCACCAACTGGACATGCCCACAAGCTCTTCCCCACACACTCTCCTTCCCCACCTACCCACTCTCTGGATGATGCAGTGGTCATGACAGCACTCTGAAAGCATGCCAATCCCAAGGGGGAAAAAAAAAGTCACACCAAAATTCCCTCTGCCCTCCCAGGTATGTGCACTTAACAGAAAACCAAACCTGTTCAAGAAATACCAATGCACATACTTGTCAAGCTTCAGCTGGTCGTGGGCACTCAGAGGGGGAGGCTCATACAGAACCAAGGCACCTTCTTCCAAGGGGTCATGGAGGGCCCGGCGGACCCCGGCCCTTTTGAGGCCCAATGCACGAGAGCCCAGAGGACCTAGAAACCAACAATCTGTCACCTGGGGCTCTATATTGAGATCAGCACGCCCAGCTTAAATACTTATCTTTCATATGACCTTTAAGCTTGCATACGACCTTCTCTCTCCCAGAACCTCTCCAAACCCAGCGGGGCACCTCTACCTGACCATTATCCCAACCTGCTTCAGATCAGTTTTTCCCCATTTTGTTTCTTCCATTTAACTACAAACTTCTGGAGGGTTGGGTCTTGTTCATCTCAAGTCAATCCTAGAAAGGTGTGGAACCCAAAGGGCCTTTCAAGATGGAGGGCTCTTGAAAGTTGGCCTCCTCCCTCTCCAGTCCCAGTTTTAGCACAATAATATGCTCTACAAAGGTCAGGGAAAACGCTGTAGAACGCAGGTCTCAGACACAGCCAACCTCAGACACAAGATGCTACTGAAATTACTCAGACTGAATGAAGCCTGGGCCCGTCAACCACCTGGGCCCACCAGGAGATTCCTGAGCACTGGCACATCCCCACCAAGGAGATGAGGGGCAGTCAGGTGTGGCAGCCCTTGCTCAAACTATCAAATACAGCCTTCATGCAAGCCTCTGGAGCCATTCCATACACAGACACCACTGGGCTGGCATCTTCAATTCCAAAGTAAGCATGTATTACAGAAGCAGAGGTTTTCCTCTATTCATTTCATCATACATTTGCACATGATTGATTCAAAAGATAGAAAAGTCTCTATTTTTACCTTGATAATTTGGAATGGGAATTTTAAAAGGCTTTGACAAAATGCTTCGAATAAAGGCTTCCTAAAAAGAAAAAGAAACAGGGATTCAGGACTGATTGGAGAGGTTTGGGGATAATATTTCTACAAATGCAGTCTAAAATTTAAAGATAATAAATACATTCAGAGTATTATATTTTGATTACATCTCACTCAGATGCATTTAGAACATAAGGAGGGGCATATGGGTGGCTCAGTTAGTTAAGCGTCTGACTTTTTTAATGGTTATTTATTTTGAGAGACAGTGCACATGGGGAAAGGGCAGAGAGAGAGACACAGAATCCAAAGCAGGCTCCAGGCTCTGAGTTGTCAGCAGAGAGCCTGATGCGGGCTCGAACTCAAGGACCAGGAGATCATGACCTAAGCTGAAGTCTG